TAGTCGTGTTGCTTGTGCCTTTCCAATGTACCACTGCCCACTCTCGGTGGACAGCGCAACGTATAGGAGGGCTGAGTTAGCAACGCTATCTTGTGGGCACCAGAGAAGGTGGTGTAGCTGTGTAATGTATTTATGCCAAAACTGGAAACGAAAACACCTAGCAAGGATACATGTCTGTAGGGCTGGCTTCGCCGCGCGCAGGATAACTCGAACGTATGACTTTTTTTCAGCATTCTCGACCATGAAGTGTAGTGTGTGTATGACGCCCAGACCATAGAAGGTGTTCCAGGCATCCTTGTTCCCACTACCGTGTTGCAGCCATAGGCCGAGGGTGCATCTAGCACTTCGGCAGAGACTGTCGAGCTGTCTGGTGGGGAAGCCCTGTAGGGCCCATAGGAAGAAATGTGCTGTGGTGTGCATTCCGTTTGCTCGTGTTGTCCCAAATCTTGTCCCAGTACACACCTGTGCCATGTGGGCCAGGAGGTCTTGAATGGGGATCTTCTGTATGAACTCACGCCAGCCTTCTCGAGGGACGGCTGGGTAGAACTTACTGATATGGGCACGAGCAGGGTGTGAGCTGTCCAACATAGATGTAATGTGCAAACAAATGTGTACGATAGAATTTTACCTCCACACGCCCTAGAGAGGGAACCGTGGGAGAGCTGCTGGTCGAGAGCAAAGGGAGCTATATGGACAGGATCAAGGATGGAGGTGAGGCCCGAGGGAGGTGAGCACCCGTGTCCCCCTCCCCCTCCCTCCCCTTGTTCCTGGGTCAGCCCGTCGGTCCAGACTTGGAACTGGTAGGACTCTGGCATGGGGTCCTAGTCGCTTTACGTCCTCAGCGTACCGACCTCGGGCCTAGAGAATGCCCGCGGCGAGTGCGAAACAAACGAAGACAGCAAGGTACGGCACACATATCACGATTCTTCCTATAATGAGCACTGCACGCACAAATATCACTGCACTACTTAGTAGACCAAGTGTCATACTGTAGTACATGGCTTTGCACGCGCTCAGGCTCTGGAAATCTAAGTGTAGGTCAACACTCAGGATTCTATAATCTTCACAACTAAGGGTGGTACAATAACATTCTGTTGCTGCTGCTGCTGCTGCTGCTGCTGCTGCTACTGCTGCTGCTGCTTCTACTACTACTACTACTACTACTACTACTACTACTACTACTACTACTACTACTACTACTACTACTACTGCTACTACTACTACTACTACTACTACTACTACTACTACTACTGCTGCTGCTGCTACTACGACTACTACAACCCAAAACGACTATCCCGCCCGCCAACCCCTCATGTCATCGATATTGGCTGCTGGGGCTGAGCACGCGCAGAAAGTCTTGTAACACACAAATGCGAGTAGGGAGGGGGTGCGGCGGGAAGGGGGAGCGACGTAGGGAGGAGGAGAAGGATGAGGAGGACGATGAGGAGAAGGAAGAGGAGGAGGACGATGGGGGAGGAGGAGGAGGAGGAGGAGGAGGAGGAGGAGGGGGAGGAGGAAGAGGATGAGGAGGAGAGGGGGAGGAGGAAGGAGTAGGAGGAGGAGGAGGGATGAGGAGGGAGAGGAGGACTCCAAGGGGGCTCCAAGGCCCCAAGAGGGCCCTAAGAGTGGCCCAGAGAGACCCCAAGAAGGCCCCTGAAGCAGCCCCTTCCGAAACATATCATATGTTTCGTTGTTTTTCCCGCCCCTTCCGAAACATGAAATCTGTTTCGGTTGCGTTTTCCTCTTGCTGCCGTTTCGGGCTCTTTTAGGGCCCCTTGTAGGACGCCAGTCCACTGGACCCACCAGAACCCCTCGACAGTGGCGGCAGTTTCGCAGATCGCAGCCCCCTCCCAGGGATGGCGAGGTCCAATCTGAGCCCCCATATGACGTCACTCTGCTGGGCCCCCCACGCAGCCCTCTAAAGTTGGCCCTTCTAGGGCTTATTTGGGCGCCAAGAAAAGTCAATACGGGCCCCAGGAGGGCTCCAAGAAGGCCCCAAGGGGACCTTACGAGTGGCCCAGGGAGACCCCAAGAAGGCGCCCAAAGCAGCCCCTTCCGAAACATCAAAGATTGTTCGGTTGTTATTCCCGCCCCCTTCCGACACATAAAATATTTGTCGGTTGCTTTTTCCTTTTGCTGCCGTTTCGGGCTCTTTAGGGGCCCACCAGCACGCCTCGAAATTGGCGACAGTTTCGCAGATCGCAGCCCCCCCCCCAGGGATGGCGAGGTCCAATTTTAGCCCCCATAGGACGTCACTCTGCTGGGCCCTCCTGCAGCCCTCGAACGTTGGCCCTTCTAGGGCTTATTTGGGCACCAAGAAAAGTCAATAAGGGCCCCAGGAGGGCTCCAAGAAGGCCCCAAGAGGGCCCTAAGAGTGGCCCAAAGAGACCCCAAGAAGGCCCCCAAAGAGCACCCTTCCCCTAAGGATTTTTCAGGATTCCCATGGATTCGCAAATACTCTTAAGGATTCCTGACAGAATCCGGAGGAGTCCTGATCCTAAGGATCCTCAGGGATCCCAAGGACCCTAAGGAATCCTAAGGATCCTAAGGAGTCCTAAGGAGTCCTAAGGAGTCCTAAGGAATCCTAAGGAATCCAAAGGAATCGAAGTACTTGTGAAGAAGAAAGAAATACTTCTGAAGGAGAAAGAAGTACTTCTGAATAAGAAAGAAGTACTTCTGAAGATCCCATGGTTGTAATTGGTCCCATGTATGGTTGCAATTCGCTCCGAACGGTTGGAATTGGTACCAGTCGGTTGTAATTCGTCCCGTTTCGGGGGGAGGGGCGAGGGGAGGAGGAGGGAGGGGGGTAGGGAGAGAGGGAGGAGGGGGAGGGGAGAGAGGCAGGCCGGAGAAACGCGAGGAGCCACAACCACAGATGGCCCCTCCTCCTCCTCCTCCTCCTCCTCCTCCTCCTCCGCCTCCTGGCGATCCGTCTGGCCCCTATGGGCCGCCAGGCATAGCAGAAAACCGAAACCCCGACACAAACTGAATCCATAGTTTCTCTGATATTGTGTGTCTGTGAAGTCGGCCGCAATCGCACGCCACAGCGACGCAGGGCTGGCGTCATCCGACACCTCCTACTTGCAATGGCGCGCTTGCGCCCAAACCCTTCCGTGGACCACGGCACAATCAACAGATGACAGCGCTGATTGCGCAGCGCACGCTTCCGACGCGGCGCAGCTGGATTTACCGAGGCGCGCGGCCAACGAACAAAAACATTTAACCTACCAGCGGTTGGCACGAATCTGCTGCTTGCTGGCTCATGAGCAACAACTTCGTCGACTTTTGATATTTCTCAGGAGCGTCCATTGCGCGGCTACCTCGGATCCTGCTTTCATCCTCTCCGCCTTCTCCATGTTAGCCGGGAGGAGTAGGGGGAAGGCCAACAGCAGCCGCAGGCGGAAGAGCAGGAAGCGGAGGAGGTGTAGCATCAGGAGGAGGTGCCGCTCGCGAGTTGACCAGCCCGATTCGCTTGAGACATTTTCGCAGTTCTGGATTATGATATGCCATGACCCGAGGTGGTCCAGCCGTTTCGCTTGAGAATTCTTCGCATCTCTAGGCCCTGGTATGTCCTGGCCTGAAGTGGTCTGGCCCGTTTCGCCCGAGACATCCTCGCAAATCTAGGCCCAGAGATGGCCGTGACCTTCTGGGAGCCTGGGGGCGTCCCAGGTAGCCTGGGCTAGGGAGCCCAAGAACATCGGAAAATGGGATGCCAAGAACTCGGAATGTGTGCATTCGGCGCGCGACGACAACATTCCCCCGTCAATCTGTGGATTCGTCGCGGCACATACGCATGCCCCACCCCCGATTTGTAGATTCTGCGCACGTGCACCCGACGACCCCAGAACCAACTGCGTACAACATGCGCGTCCGCAGATTGTTCTGTGGGCGCGCCCCCTGTCCGCAGACTGTGCGCATAGGTCCAGGCTTTCTGTCCGCACTTGACAGTGCAATCTGTGGATTAAGGACACTTGTCCACACTTGACAGTACAGTTTACCGACGGCCTCCCACAAAAATGTTGTCCGCAGTTCACAGTACGATCTGTGGAGTCGGTCACTGTGCACGACCGCTGCTCGGCAACCTCATGGTGCCCCGACCTCGGTGCTTAGTCTGGGGGGGTGGGGCCCGGGTGGGGACCCTGTGTCTTCACATGACACCACGGTCTGTGGGTTGCCTCGGACGCGAACGGCAAAGCAGAGCACCGCGCGGCACCGGGAACACGCGAGAAGATGAAAAGGGAGGGCGAGAGGACGAGAAGGGAGGGATATCAGAGTGCCCCAGGAGGGCTCCAAAGGAGGCCCCAAAAAAAATCTCCGGGACCTTTTGGTGCCCTCGTGGGTCCCTCTCAAGGCCCTCGTGGGTCCCTGCGGGGGCGACTGCCGGCGAGCGCGAGGGCGCTATCGTGCATGCCGAAGGTGGCGCGACGTCGGACTGGCGTTCACATCTTTGTTGGTGCCATCCTCCTCTTCATTTTCACCTCCTCGTCGCGACAAGAGGGTCCTAACAGCCTAACAGGGCCTCAAGACGGTCTGTTTTTCAGACGCCCTCCGTCCCTCCTTCCCCCATCATCCCTCAGTGTTGCCTCTCCACTGGGGTCCTTCTCACTGAGATATGCCGCCCCACAGTCGGAGGAATCATGCCATCTGGGGCGTCGCTGACATTTTATATGACGGCCGATATTGGTGTCCTCATCCGCAAGGGTTTCGTCCCCTGTCGCTGGCCCCCTCTGCATCACAATGGGATGTATCGAAGCCGCGTCGGTGTGTCTCGGCGCTGCCTTGGCGCATCTGGGAGCATCATGCGGCGGCGGACAGGAATCATCAGCACATATGGAGACGTTGGCGTTATCGAAGATGCCTACGGCGAATCACCGCCGTCCCCTTCCTTTGTGGAAGCGCCTATGTGGCAGAATGTTGAGGCCAGACCTGCCCAGCTATCGGACCATGCGTTCCCCGAATCGGTTTGGAAAGCCTTCGGGGAACACGTGGGCCTCTTGAAGGTCCGACACTCCAAGCTGCAGCGGATGTCCGCGGCAGTCTTGCCGGCACGCCCCTTCTCACTTCCCCCCCGGGCCCGCCGCCGATCCTCGACCTGGACGCCGTCTGCGTGGGCTGCACGGAGGGCATCGCCGGCGGCGCGCTCTTCGGGCTGCCCGACGGCGAGGTGGCCCAGGTGTGGCGGGAGGCGCTGCAGGGCACGGGGCCCGCGGGGTCCAGGGCGCCGCTCGCGGCCCACTTCAAGAGGACCTCTCGGCCGCCGCCTCCCGGCTCTCTTCCCGGCCTCCTGGAGGGGGTTCCGGGCAGAGGGGGTCGGAGGATCGCGCCGCATCGCCGATGCATCGACGATGTGGCTCGATGTAGAGCCCGATTCTCCCCACGCCGACGTCGCGGATGCGTCGCCGATGCATCGCTGATGCATCCGCCGATGCATCGGCGATGCATTGACGATGCGGCGCGATCTTTCGACCCCATCTACTCGGACCCCATCTAGGAGGGCTCTCGCCTTCTACGTGCATCATGCCATGCAGGTAGAGATCGGCACTCCCCCTCGCGTTTGCGCACCTGCCCCAGCTGCGGCTCGCGCCCGTGCTCTCGCATCACGGCGCTTGAAGTCTGAGTATTTCGGTGCTGGGGCTCCTCAGGAGACGTTCGCTCCTCCTCCTCCCTCCCTCCTCCTGGAGGTTGAAGTCGAGGGGGAGGAGGGGAAGGATGATGACGATTCTGACGAAGACGCTGACGGCGACGACGACCTTACTGCGCTTTCGACGCTCACGATGCTCACGAAGACGACGCGGCGCGATCAAGTGGTTTCAATGTCTCCAGTTCCGCTGCCGCGCGTGTCCGCTACCACGCTTGGAGAAGTTGCGCCGCCAGGTCGCAGCGATGCGCGGGCGTGGCGTTGTTCGCTGAGCGTCGGAGCCCTCGTGGGGCCTCTTCGGGGCCTGTTGGGTGCCTCTCGGGGCCTCTCGGGGGCCTCTTGGCGCCTCTTGGGGCCTCTTTAGGGCCTCTTTGGGCCTCGGGAGGTTTCTTGGGGGGCCCCTTGGGGCCTTCTTCTTGGGGGGCCGCTTGGGAGCCTCTTTGGGCACTGTGGGGAGGATCTTCGGGGCATCTTCGGGTCTCTGGACGTCTTTGGGGCCTTTTGGGCCGTTTTGGGTACCTCCTCTTAGGAGCCTTTTGGGCCCTGTTGGGAGCTTCTCGGGGACTTCTTGAGGGCCTCTTGGTGTCTTTCGGGGGTTTCTTTGGGGGCTCACTGGGATGTCTCTGGGCGTCTTGGGAGTTTCTGGGGGGCCTCGTCGGGGCCTCCTGGTTCGTCTTTGGATGATCTTGAGAGCTTCTTGGGCAGTCTTGGACGCCGTCGAGACCAAACATGCGATAAGTTTAGATTGTATGTGTTTGGCAATTTCAGCTTCCCAGAGGCGTCCCGGAAGACCTTCAGGTGCTCTCTTGGACGTCCTTGTTAACGTCCCAGGGCCGTCTCGGGGCCATCGCGGCCGTCTTGAAGGCTATGCTGGGCCGTCTTGGAGGCCGCAGAGGGCCGTCGCGTTCGACTTGGACGCAGTAATGGCGGGACCTGGCTTTTCAGTCGATTTCCGAGGTCTTGGTTTCTTCTCACTCCCCTCGACGGCCCCGCCACTTCCGTCGCTTCTCGCCGCATCTCTGGGAACAGTGGGCTGCGCGCTGCTTGTGCTTTGACTGCTGCGTGGGCGGTGGATGCTCATAGTCGGACGGTCTCGAGGGGCACCGGGGCCCAGTGGGGAAGGGGGGCAACGATGAGGAATGAGAGGACGATGGGGCAGGAGGTGTAGCAGGAGAACGACGAGGATGCGATGCGGTGGTTTGGCGGCCTCCCTGAGACTCAGGGGGCGATACGGGGCAAGCAAACACAGACCGTCAAAAACCGCCGATTTCGACAGTTGCTCGGCCCTGGGATGCTCTGTTTCGATGTTCTTAGCCCCGCTGGCATTTGTGAGGGTGGGCTCGTTCTCCTGTCTCTCATTTCCCCCCCCGCCCCCGAGTTCTGCTTCAGGAGTTTTCCCCGCCAGCACTCGGGGGAAGAGGGCTTGCCTGCTCGATGAGGAGGAGCTGGGTGGCGCTCCTTACTCATTCTCTTTGTCTTTTCCGGGAAGTAAGTTGGTTGCCATGTATGATCGAGGACGGCGAACTGCGATTCCCGACGCTCGACGACGACGGCCCCGTTCCCTCCTCGCTTCTCTTTTCGTCCGGCCCCCCCTTCCTCGCTCCTCTCTCGCCATTCCCTTCTCCCTCCCCTCCTCCCTCCGCCTCCCCCACCCACCCGCCGACCTGTGGGTGCCAGGAACCTCCTAGGAACATCCCCCTCCCCCCCCGCACTCGGAGGATCCTGTTCACGTCGGCGGGGGACCAGCCCGCGTTCGCGAGGCAGACCGCGAAGGCGCCGCTCTGCGGCCCCCCGCCGACGCCCGCGCCCTCCCCCCCCCCATCGCAAGCCGCGCGGAGGCGACGATTCACGACGGGTCTGTGTGTGTGTGTGTACGTGCGTGTACGTGTGTGCGTGTGCCCTGCCCGGACGGGCCGCTCCTTGGCCTGTCCTTTTTGCCGCGGCTGTGCCGTACGCCCTCCGCGGTTCCGCCACGGTCCCGTCGCCCCCGGGCACCCGTTTCGTCCCACCGTCTGCCTTGGTCGGGCTGTCTGCCTTCTGCTCTCCCCCGCCTCCGGGGTGCCGTGGCACTTTTGCGCTTCGCCCTGCTTTCCCCTCGCACTGCACACCTCCGTTTACCACCACTCGCCCCCTCACCCCCCTCGCCCTTAACCCCTCGCGACCCCGCGCGAGTGACCCAGTCGATCCTCTATGGGTGGACCCATGGTTCTCACAACGCGTGATTTGGCCCGGCCGCGCGCGTCCTCCCGCTCGACTGGATACGCCGCGCCGCCGCGCGCGTGGCCGCGACGCCAACAAGTGTGTGTGTTTTCGAGGGAGGTCTTGAACCAACGCCCAGCCGAGCATGTATTCGTTTGACACGACAGTTTTGAACCTTGAGGGCTGTTTTCGTTATTGCTTTTGTTTTGGTTGCCCCCCGCAAGGGCCGCGGGAACATTCGCGACGTCTTTTTTGTTTTGTAAGAGGAGGCTGGTACATATACTGTTACACGTCGCCACGGCTGGACTCGCCTGGAAGATTCACAACGGGTGGGCTTGAAACCAACGCCCACCCGACGACCGATTCGTTTGACAGGACAGCTTTGCAAGCGGAAGGCTGTGTTCGTTCTCGCCCTTGTTTTCGTCAGAGGCGCCGCCGCCCGCGCCCCCCTCGGAAGCCGCGCGGAGATGTCCCCCCCTTCGCCCCCCCGCAGGCCCCGCGTGAACACTCGTCGTTTTGTTTGTTCTGTCACGGGAGCAAGGTGCTGTAGGCCTCCCAGGTGGGGTCCGAGTCGATGGTGTCGGAGGATCGCGCTGCATCGCCGCTGCATCGCCGATACATCGCCGGCACACCGCCGATGCATCGTCAATACATCGGCGACGCTTGCGATGTATCGGCGACGTCAGCGTTGAGGAAGTTGGGCTGCACCTCGAGCCGCAGCGCCGATGCATCGACGATGCGGTGCGATCCTCTGACCCCTTTCTACTCCGACACCATCCAGGAGACCTCCAGGTACCGATGCCGCTGCCCGTACCTCGTCGCCACAGCTGGATTCGCCTCGCGACGATTCACGACGGGCGAGTTTGAAACCACCACCCGCGCGAGGACCGCTGCGTTTGGACACGAACGATTCGAACGCGGAGGGCCGTTTTCGTGTTAATTCCCGTCACAGGCGCTGCCACGCGCCCGTCGCTGCCGCCCGCGCACCCGTCGGAAACCGCGCGGAGATGTCTCCTTCCCCCCCGAAGGCGCTGCGTGAAATGGCACGACGTTTTTGTTTTTGTGTTTTTTTCGGTGTGTGTGTGTTATTGTTGTTGGGTATGTTTGTGTTTAATGTGTGCATGTATGTATGTATGTATGTATGTATGTATGTATGTACGTACGTACGTACGTACGTACGTACGTACGTAGGTAGGTAGGTAGGTAGGTAGGTAGGTAGGTAGGTAGGTAGGTAGGTAGGTAGGTAGGTAGGTAGGTAGGTAGGTAGGTAGATAGGTGTGTATATATGATGTGTTTGATTGTGTTAGGTTACATGTGCATCATAGGATGAAAGAACAACCGATACCACTACCCTTCCCCCGTCGCCACGGCTGCATTCGCCTCGGCATTCAGGTCAGAACGCATTCGGGGACAGGTCTGGGGAGCATCGGTATGGGTACCTTTTTGTCCCCCCTGACTCTGGACCAAAACACCAGACTTCCCAGATAGTCGGTATCGGTTATCCGATCTCCATCCTCATCTTCATCCCTTTCGAGACCCCCAGCAAATTACCACCCCACTTGGGGATACACCCCTCAGAACCCGAAAGGAACGGCCTGTATCCCCATCTAGGGGGGTAAATCGGCCAGTGGGGCTCAGGCCACGCCGCTGGGGATGGGGATCGGTTAAACGATACTCAGTATGGGTACCTTTTCGTCCCCCCTGACTCTGAACCAAAACACCAGCCCTCCCAGATGGGGTTCTTCTCGTAGACGAGATCGCAGGATTGCGCAGCATCGCCGACGCTTCGGCGATGCGGTTCGATGTGGTGCTCGGTTTTCTCGGCGTCGACAGCGCCGTCAGCATCGCTGACGTCGCCGATGCATTGACGATGCATCGGCGATGTTTTGGCGATGCGGCGGATCCTCCGATTCCATCAGCTCGGACCCCATCATGTGAGGCTTCCACAACACGTCCTGGGGACCGATTCGCTTCAAAGGACAGTTTCAAGCGCGTATCGCCAGTGTCGTTCTCGTTTCGAACGCAGGCTTGTTTTAAACAGCGCTGTGGGGTCGAGCAGCCATGGCTTTGATTCAAGAGGCTTGTGCGGTTCCGCCGACCCCCGAGGCAGTTTGAAGCCTATTGCGGATCCTTTTGGTGGCTTTTATAGTTTCTTGGGTGCTTGGGGCTTCTCGGGGGGGGGGGTTCTTGGGCGCCTGCTCGGCGGTCCTGGCACCCTGTTGTGTGCTGGAAGGCTCGCGATATCAGTTCGAGTTGCCCTTCTTGGGCCCCCTCCTGGCCCTGACTGGGGCTCTCCTGGGCCGCCCTGGGCGCGACTTTGAGCTCGTCTTCACATGAGCGACGCAAGAAAACGGGTTCGACTGCGCCGACATTCGCTCGTAAGCTCCAAGCGTAAGGTCGCGCTCGAGCGCCCTCGTTCCCAATGTAGCGTGCAGCTCCGGCGGCCCGCGGAAGACACCGCTTAAGGTCGCTACGTCATCTCGCGTAAGACCCGTTTTTCATCGTCGCTCACATGCCCTGGGTCGTCTCGGGGCCCCGAGAGGCCAGCAGCCAGCAGAGGCTTGGCCCGCGGAGGAGGCGGGGGCCCTCCTGGGAGCTGCGGCGGCCACAGCGCTCCTCTGGTGGGCCCGCTCCTCGCGCTGCGCGCAGCGTCGTGGGTCGCCGAGGTTGGGGCGGCGTGGCAAATCGCAGGCGATTTTTCCCCCAGCCATCTACCCCACTAAGTGGGATAAGCAATGCTGTGCACTGCCAGCGTATTGAGCCTTGTACAGTGCACGTGCATGTAATTTTAGAGTTCCTTCCACACGCGTCGATGCAGGGATGGCCGCAGTCTTTCCAGTGTGATGGACTGCGTGTCCCATGCGCCTGCCCTCTGAGAGGACCGCCCTTCGGGGTTGGAATGCGGGCCTGCCTGTCTGCCTGTAACCCCCGACTTGTCGACGAAAAATGAAGCCGCTCAGAAAAGGGGGGAAAACCTTGGGATACACCCCAAGGGGGCTATTCGGACGCACCCCTATCGAGGATGGACGTCCCCCCATCGCATATCCCAGGGTCGGGCCGAATATCGCAAGTCCAGTTGAGAACCCCCACAGCCTGGGATAGGGGGTCGACCTGCCCCCTGTTAGCAGACGGTCTGCGCTGCTGAGGCCTGTGCCTCTCAGGTCTGTGTTCGAATCGTTCGCAGCAGTCCTCGCGCGGGTGCTGGTTCCAAACTCGCCCGTCGTGAACCTGCGCGAGGCGAATCCAGCCGTGGCGACGAGGTACGGGTAGCGGTATCGGTATTTGGAGGCCTTCCAGATGGGCCCGAGCAGATGGGGTCGGAGGGTCGGTATCAGAGATGCGGCTTGATGTGGATCCCGATTTTCTCCACGCTGCAGTCGCTGGTGCATCGCAGACGTCGCCGTTGCATCGCCAATTCATCGGCGATGCAGCGGCGATGCCGCGCGATCCTCCGACCACATCGACTCGGACCCCACCTGGGAGGCCTCTACACGGCTTGCCCGGCACCAGTCCACACGGTGTAGCGGGAGTTGTCACGGCGCGACGTTGCGGTCTCGCATTGTTGTGGGCACAAACGTTTTGACGGCCCGCAGAGAGGGAGGAGGATGAGGAGGAGGACACGGATGATGACGATGATGATGATTATGATGATGATGATGATGATGATGATGATGATGATGATGATGATGATCATGGTAATGACGATGATGATGATGTCGATGATGATGTTGATGATGATGTTGATGATAATGATGTTGATGTTGTTGTTGTTGTTGATGGTGATGATGACGATGCCAATGATGATGAGAGTGGTGATGATGGTGATGATGATGATATTGGTAACGATGGTGGTGATGGTGATGATGCTGATGGTACTGATGTTGAAGATGCTGATGATGATGCTGATGATAATTATGATGGTGATGGCGGTGGTGATGATGATGGTGTCCATGATGATGCTGCTGATGATGATGGTGATCGTGATGATGATGGAGATGTTGTTGATGATGATGATGATGATCTGATGATGATGATGATGATGACGGTTGCTGATGGTGAAGATGATGATGATGATGGTGATGATGATGATGATGATGATGATGATGACGATGTTGATGGTGATGATGGTGATATTGATGGTGATGATGCTTGTGACGCTGATACTGACGATAATAATGATGGTGATGGTGATTGTGGTAGTGATGGTGATGATGAATTTGGTGATGGTGATGCTGACGACGACGATGATGATGCTGATGGTGATGATGATACTGGTGATGGGGATGATGATGACGCTGCTGATGATCATGATTCCAATGATGGGGATGATGATGATGACGATGGTGATGACGATGGTGATGGGGATGATGCTTTTGGTGATGATGCTGATGATGATGCTGATGATGATGATGATGATGATGGTGATGATGCTGATGATGATCATGCAATTGCGTATGGTGCTGATACTGACGGTCATGTTTATGGTGATGCTGATCACGATGATGATGCTGCTGATGGTGATGATGATGATTACTATGTTGAGAGTGGTTGTGATGGTGGTAATTGCGGTTATGATGATGACGTCGGTGATGGTGATGTTGATGATGACGGAGCTAACGATGCTGATGATGTTGCCGATGACGATGATGACGATGATGATGCTGATGCTGATGCTGATGATGATGCTGATGACGATGATGATGACGATGGAGATGACGATGATGGTGACGATGGTGCTGCTGATGATAATGATGATGCTCGTGATGATTCAGATGATCCTTGTGATGGTGATGGTGATGAAAATGATGATGATGATGATGATGACGATGGTGATGATGGTGATGATGGTAATGCAGGTGATGTTGATGGTGATGGTGATGATGCTGATGATGATGGCGATGACGATGACGATGCTGATGATGCTGATGATGATGATGATGATGATGATGTCTTTGATGATGATAATTCTGATGAAGTTGATGATCATCATGCATCTGCTGATTGTGCTGATGATGATGATCATGATCACGGTTGGGATGATGCGCATCACGATGATTGTGACGCAGATTTCGTGGATGTTGATGATGATGATGCTAGATGATGCCCATCATTATGACGACGATCACGACGCCGACGACGGTATTGATGATGATGAGGATGATTAACATGATGATGATGCTGATTTTGATGATGACGACGACACGGCGACGACGCTGATGATGCTGATGCAGATGACGATGATAATGCTTTTGCTGTTGATGATGACGATGTTGTTGACAATGATGATGATGATGATTATGATGATGATGATGATGATGATGATGATGCTGATGCTGATGCTGATGCTGATGCTGATGCTGATGAGGGTGATGATGATGGTGATGATGATGATGCTGATGATGATGATGATGATGACGACCGTAAGGATCATGACAATGATGATGCTGATCCTGATGATGAGGATGATGATGATGATGCTGCTGATGATGATGACGATGATGCTGATGATAATGATGATGCTGAGGAGGAAGATGAGGGGGAGAAACAGGAGGAGGAAGAGGAGGAGGAGGAGGAGGAAGAGGAGAAGGAGGAGGAGGAGGAGGAGCAGAAGGAAAAGGAGGGGGAGGAGGAGGAAGAGGAGGAGGAGTAGGAGGTGGAGGAGGAGGAGGTCGAGGAGGAGGAAGCGGAGGAGGAGGAGCTGGAGGAGGAAACGGAAGAGGAGAAGGGGGTAAAGTAGGAGGAGGAGGAGGAAAAGCATGACGAACATTTGGGAAAACAGAAAGAGTAGAAAGAGGAGGAGGAGGAAACGGATGAGGAGTTGTTGGAGGAAGAGGAGGAAAAGGAAGAGGCGGAGGAGGAACATGAGGAAGAGGGGGATGAGGAGAAGGAGGAGGAGGAGGAGGAGAAGGATGAGGAGGAGCAGGATAAGAAGGAGGAGGAGGCGGAGGAGCAGAAGATTAGGAGGAGGAGGAGGAGGAGTAAACGGATGATGATCTGTATGATCACATGAGGAGGACCTTCGGCAAATGCCCAGTGCTTCTGCCAACGAAGAGGGATGGATGGATGGCTGGATGGCTGGCTGGATGGTAGGGTGAGCGACTCGCGTTGGGGGGGAGGGGGAGGGTGGGCCCGAGGTGCTCCGCGAAGCGCTCGGCGACTCGCTGCTGACGCCGCAGGGCTGCACCGGCCCGAAGGTGCGAGGCAACTGGGCGTGGTCGAGGTAGCGGCTCCTTCCCTCTCCCCTCCCATCCCCAGCACGCCATCCCTCCTCTGGAAGAAGGGATGTGGGGAGGAGGAGGCAGGGGGGAGTCCCTCCGGCCCCCTCCGTCCCTCTCCTGCTCCCTCTCGCGCCCCCTCGCCCGCCTCCCGCGCGAGACCGGTCCTGTGGACGCTGGTGGGCCTTCCCTGGGACTTGCTCTTTACCTCGAGTCGTTTGTTTTCTGGTCTCAGAGCCTGCGGTGAAAGTCCTGGAGGCCTCGCGTGGCGCACAATAGCTGCATTATCTAGTCCACGCGTCCCCCTTGTCAGATATGGGTCGACGTTCGCGCGGCGATGCTCCGATGTAAGTCCGACGTGAATCCGACGTGCATCCGACATGGACTCGACGTAAGTTGGGTCTCAGGTTTCCGCGCGAGGCCTCGGCGACGGCCCCTGGAGCCCGCAATCGGCGAAGAGTACCCTGGACCCCTGCCCTCCAGGACCCGCGCTACCGCTTCCCTCACTCCACTCGCGCTGCCTCTTCTTCCTCTCCTCCGAGAGGGTTTTCTCGCACCCCCTGGGCCACAGAGCGCGTTGGGCCATGACGCGGGGGCGTCACGTCATCCCCCCCCCCCCCTCCCCCTCAGTAGCGCCTGTGCTCGGCGCGCATTCAGAGATGCTCTCTTCCCCGCGCTGCCAGTACGACGCGCTCTCCGCCCCTCGCCGGCGCGGGCCGCCAGCAGCGGCGCGCGGCGCGCGCGAAACCTGCGCGCGGCCTCTCCGTGCGCGCCTCGAGGAAAAATGGCTCTTCGGCTCTGCCGGCGGATGGCCCGAGGTCCGGCAACATCCAGACACGCCCAAGGACCACACCTGCAACTCGGTGTGTTTATGTGGAGGGCCCTCCAGGGCAGAACCCACCGACCTCGGCACAACCACTGGTCGTGGTTGGGGTCGATTTGGCCGTC